TTCCAATTGCTTTCTGGAGAAAAAGGCCTCCTGTAATGCAACATGTGACTCATTACATCCATAAAGCTCCTTGAGGATAGAAATGATTTTAGCTGGATCCCCTCGTTCCTGACTAGAGCGATATTTGATCTCATCCCTAGCCTCTCCTTCTAAATGGTCGTACAAAAAGAAGGCCTGATCTGCTGCTGACAAATTTCGTGCCCGCATACATGCCTGCACCTCCTCAACCCACTCGCTCACACTTATCCCCATCCGTCCCCTAAACATAGGACACTTACGATCGCGTGGGACAAACACTAACCTGTCCGTTATTTGGGCAGTGGGGGGTGCAGAAGCTGAAGACGGCCCGGCACTGGAGCTAGATGTGGAAGGTGAGCGCTCTGCACGCAGCTTCTCATTGTCAGCCTTTAATTGAGCAATCAGGGTCTTCAATTCCAGTAGCTCTTCCTCCATTACTACAAATGATCAGCTCAAAAAAACAAATGAACCGCTGCTGTTAGTCCTTAACACACCAAAAAAAAAAAAAATTACTGCTTGCACACAACTGTCACAAAAATGCAATAAAACAGAGAAGAGTCTCAGCCTCACAACTGTAAACCATCCTACCAGCAACGCCAAAATGTGGCGGGAGCGGTGTGATAAGATCTGGGTAACTTCAATTTAGAAACACCAGGTAAGAAAAGATTTAATAGATTTTAATAACTCCGCTTAAAATGTTACCATTAAGGCACACAGACCCGCTACAGATGAGGCTTGAGACAATCTCACCATTCAACTCTTTTATTATACAACTTTTAGTTTAATTCAAAAAGATTAAATTAAAACCTCACATTTAAAAATTAGTTCAAGCGTAACTCTGTGAGGAGTGAAATTCAGGGTAGGGTACAAAAAAGAAAAAAAATAAACACAGCAAACAGAACTAGGCAAAGCAAAAGAAAATCATGCACCAAACCAGAAGAGGAACCACCACCCAGAAGTCCACCACCAACACCACGAGCTGACCGTTCCTGTAAAAAAAACAACATTCAGAGTACAATTCCCATAATACAGTTCAGTCCACAATTTAGCAGCAGTATAGTCCAAAATTAAGGCCCATCCTGGGAGGAACCGATCCGCTGTGGCGGACGTCACTCACGCAGCACCAAAAGAGTAAGTCCGAGCTGATCGCCAATCAGCCACGCTGGACGAGTGTTAGAAGTCACAGCTTTATGCCGGCCGGGGCGGCAGGTATGAAGCCAGCAACAGGACGGCAGATAGGCAGCTGACAGATAACCCAGCTGACAGGCGAACAACGCAGGCGAACAGTCGGCTCAGGACAAACAGCAGNGAAATATCCCGGGCTCCAGTGGGAGAATTTGAAGATTCAATTGGCTATGTTCAAGAAGAAATACAATTGCAAAACCACTGCAGATGCTGCACATTCCTTTAAGAGCAATGCCTGTGGAAGTTCGCGCCCTTTTCCCGCAAGTTGAGACAGTGGTCCGACTGTTAATGGTTGTGCCTGCATCGTCTGCTGAGGCAGAAAGGAGTTTCAGTGGCCTGAGCAGACTTAAAACGTGGTTGCGGTCCACCACATCCCAAAAAAGGCTGAATGGAATGGCAGTGTGCCACATCCACCAAGAGAGGCTGGACAGTCTGAACAAGAAAGACATTGCCCAACAATATATTCAAGGCAAGGATCGGAGGAGAGAGGTTTTTGGATCCTTCACTTAGTCTGTTTCTTCATTTGAGGCCATTTATTGAAAAGCCATGTAGAGTACTTATTTACAAATTTGTTTTTGTATATATGTAGGCTTTGCTGTTCATGTTTCTGTGTGTTTACAGCCTGCACTTAAAGTCAGTCCATGTTTAAATAAAACCTTTTTTTTTTTCACACGTCATGTGGCATGTTTGGTGAGTACTTGGTACCAATACGTGTTGTTTTCTTGCAATGATGGGCAATTAAGATTGATGGGTTGTCATAGCTGAGTAATAGCCAGTAATAGAAACTGTCCCCCACAGTTTCAAAAACCTATCTGCGCCCCTGGCTGGCAGTGCTCAGAGTTTGTGAACCGACTGAACCCTGTGTCACCTAGTCACCTCATATTGAAAAAAACTACTGTGCATTTTATTGAGATTTTTTATTTTTTTTATTGAGACATGTTTTTTGAAAGTTTTGACATAAATCACAAAAATCTGATATATCTGTAAAAAATGTTGCATCTAGCATCTAAAAAATGTAGCATACATGTGCATTCATTTCCCTGGACGCTGTACACTGAAGGCTTCAGCAAAAAAATCTAAGGCCTCTGTGCCAGTTTTGCACATCTAGAGACTGAATTGTTAAGATATTTAGGGGTGATATCAGACATGGGAAAAACGGTCCTCTGTTCAGATAAGACCAGCATTTACCTTTTCGACCTACAGGAAAAAGGTTATGTTTGATGGAAATCTAGCTCTGTCAGACATATTATTCACAGCATAATGGTATGAGGGTGTTTTACTTGGATCACTTCACAGTTGATTGTGAAATGAATTGAGCTGGCTACATGACAATCCTGAAGGAAAATCTGCTACCAAAGAAACAAGACTGAGCTGGAGGTTCCCCAGCCATCGCATTCTGATTTCTTACAATATTTGAACATTTCAAAATGATTATTCTTTATCTTTTTCCTACAATTATGAGCTACTCTCTTTCAAATTGAAAAATTAAATTGCTTTAAATTACATTTGATTTTTGGATTATTAAATTCCGGGAAGTTGAAGCCTTTTAACAGGCATCGTATTGTATGTGTGATTCATTCTCACGTGTCGGTACAATTTCCCCTGTTTTGCCGTTCTTTCTGATGTAGGTAAAAAACAAGATGCAGAAAACACTTCGAAGGTGGAGCCCTTCAACGGTCATGGCAGGCCGCTGGACATCGTACCGAGCACGGAGGATAAGATGACTGACAGGGGTCAGTGGGGCAACAAGATTGAGTTTGTCCTTTCTGTAGCTGGGGAAATTATTGGCCTGGGAAATGTTTGGCGCTTCCCCTACCTTTGTTACAAGAACGGAGGAGGTGAGTTCTAAGAATTTTCCTTTTCATTATTCTTGTTATCTATTTGACATGTAAAGGATAAGCTGAAGGGATAAAAAAAAGCCCAGCATGCTAAGGGTGTGGTTGTCAGTGCATGAAAAGAAATGGGACCTCGTTATAACTTGTTTTAAATTGAAGGCTTACAGAGTCTTTTAGAGCTTCCATATCTATTCGAGAAGCCAGAAAAAGAATCCAATCCTGTGATGCCTGGGAAATATATTTTGGAATACCATGCATTTAGAGAGGATCTTCTCCACAGTTTGGCAAATTACAGTAACACTCTGCACAAAATAGTACAACTAATCACCTGGAGAAGTCACCTGAAAAAAAAAAGGTGTTCAAATGTGTAGAAAATAAAAAAATGCTGTTCTCTATATGCTCTTCATATTTTTTATTTCTAAAACAGTTTGACAGCCATTTTACTTTTTTTTTCCAGGTGACAATGACACACGCATATCTTTCATTTCCAGAAAGTAAAAATCCATTCACATTTTTGGTTACAAAATATGTCAGGTTTAGATTGTGTCATTTTAGATATTCTGTTTTGGAATATGTGTTTTAGATATAATAAGCTCATCCTATAAGGTTTGTGACCTGTTGCCTAAATGTTTACAGGGGCTTTTTTTATCCCATACCTCATCTTCTTATTTGCTTGTGGGATCCCGGTGTTCCTCCTGGAAACGTCTTTGGGTCAGTACACCAGTGAAGGAGGGATCACTGCCTGGAGGAAAATGTGTCCATTGTTTGAAGGTAACATGAATGCAGTTTATTACACCAACTTGTAAGAGTTAGAGGTATTTTTTCTTCTTTATGTGTTGAAGGATGTTTAAGTTGTTTGCTTTTATGTAGGATCCATGTCACATTTAGGGCATCCCTGGTGGAAAAATACAACTAACATACTTGTGCAATACCTTGGCTTGAGAGAGAAATTTAGACATGTCAGTGCAATATTTTTGCGGTTGTGATTTTGCATAGTCTAGATCTATCTAATTGATTGCGGCACAAGGACATTTTTTATGTTTTTGGGGAAAAAAAGGTGAAAATAAAAGCTTATATCTGGTAGAGACGCATGTTCGGCTGTAATACATGCGCTGAATTATAATGTTAATCTAAAACTCTTGTGTCTGGGAGGCATTATATTGTAAATGCTATTCAAAATTCCCTCCATGTAAACGCCAAGCTTCAGTTTACTTTAGTTTGGGCACTAAAAGAATGCTTAATCAACTGTCAACTAAAATGATCACTTTTGTTCTTTTTAACGTCACAGGCGTAGGTTATGCCACCCAGGTGATCGCTGCTCTCCTGAACATCTACTATATTGTTGTGTTAGCCTGGGCCATATTCTTTCTCTTCAACTCCTTCACCTGGGATCTGCCCTGGGCATCTTGCAATAACACATGGAACACAGGTGAGGTGACTGCTGAGGTGCTAACCATTTTTCATTAATGCAAGGTCAAATGTTTCTTAATATTAACATTTTTTGGGTTGATTTATAATGCATTCTATCCATATTTCTATGTTGAAAGATGCTACAAAAACATGGCTAGAGTTTGGTACCTAAAGCACAGTCAAAGTTACCAGTGTGAGCTAGATTCTGATTGCAAAATAACAATAATAGTAATGATGATTATTTATCTATAAGTATTTATAAAGAACTTTCTATTTGTAAAAACAAATCTCAAAGTGCCACAGAGCGATGTCTCACTTCAAAGCAGTATCACACAATGGAGTATAACCTTTATAAATGTTTTATGTACCGTAGAAAAAAAAACATTGATTTAGAGAAAAAAAATCACAGACGTCACAAATCCAAATTGTACAATTTAAAAGACTTCAAAAGACATGTAAACAAAGCGTAAGTTAAAGGTATAAGGTAGTGACATTGTTGCGGATAGTTTGTATTTAGTTAAGATATTGGGAAAAATGTCAGGTTCAGTGGAAGTTTAAAGAGGACCCAAATGTAGAGACAGAAGCTGAAGGTGGTTTTAGCAGATTTAATAACAAAAGGTGGCAACAAAAGCAAAAATCAAAAATATAACAAAATACACAATTACCAAAATACAGAGGAAAAAAAACACACACAAGGAGCCAATAAACGACAAGGCACCAGCAAACAGTGACTGAACAAGAGGTGTATAAACGGGAGACTGAACCAAGACCAGACTAATCAGCAGATTGGGAGCAGGTGTGGGCAGAGGAATCCAGAAGGGAGCTAAGAGAAGGAGACTGTCACAAGAGGGCAACAAATGGTAAACAAGAAATACATAAGAACTCAAAAAATATAACCGAAAATAACACAAAATGGAAATGAAACCAATAAACTAGAGACCACAGAAGGACATAAATCAAAGTATAACTGAAAACTTAAAAAGAAAACTTACACAGAACCAAAAAGTGCACAATCATGACAAAAACACCTTACTGTGCAAAATCAAATGCTGTCAGTGTTTATAGAGCCGAGAAATACATTGTCTTTGTCTGGATTTGCAAATAGTAGTTTGGTGTACAGTTTGTAGTGTGACTTGTAAGACAAGTTGAGGAAACCCTTTGCAGGCAACAATGAGAATATAATTTTAGTTTTTTTTTTTACAACTTGCCGAAATAATCTGTTTGACTCAGGTTGGATATTACTAAAGTTTAGCACCCCAGCAAGACATAATGACAAGCTCAGACTTTCAGGCAATAATGCGTGTACTATAAAAGCCATCCCTATGCTTTTAAGCTTTTTATTTGATTCCAGACAACAGACTTCAAAATACTGAGATCATAGTTTTATCAATATCTTACTTTTTTTGCCGCTCCTTAGTTGGAAAAATAAAAGAAAGTATCTGGATGACACATAATTGATGATAATAATAGCAAAAGGAAATATACAGTAGAAATAACAGAGCTTTTGGTAGGTTTTCATTTTAAAATGCTCATTAACTGGATAAATAAAAAAGGCTTGAATTTAATGAGAAAAAGCAACATGCAGCCTATTTATTTGCCTTTATATGCAGAGGAAGTGTTGTTACCATTAGTAAAATGCACCGTTACTGTGTACTGTAAATGTTAGCTTTGATGCTGATAGCTTGTTAGCATGTGGCCTGCATGTTGTTTATGGGAAGAAAGAGCTTTATAATTTAGCATTTTAAAAAACATCTCAACTAAATGTGACAACATACACTTTAGGATGTTTGTCAGTGGTTTCCATTATTATTTTATTCATTCATATACTTGTTTTATGTCGAGGGACTGAATGTTCCCGCTCCACTTCACTGTTCCCTCTCAGTGGTGGCATTGCTTCTCTCATCTGAATGTAACTTGGAAACCTCTGAGAAAGCTTGGATTCCTTCACAGGAGTGAATGTCCTTTTGTGTGTTGTTCATTCAAGATTCCTGTATGGCATTTCAGAGGGGAAATAGCTCCATCAATCACCATGAGAACGCCACCTCTCCTGTCATTGAGTTTTGGGAGTAAGTTCTGTTTTTCTTATCCTTTTGTTTGGCCTTCTCCTTAAGGAAGTTCACCAAGTATCCACCATGACAAGTGATTCCAGACGCATACAAAATTGGTCACCTTAGATTGTGTTTCTGGTTTGTAAATGATGTTTGGTTTTTTTAGATGCTGCACTAATCTAAGATGCTTGTGTTGTACAGACGTAGAGTCCTGAGAATTTCCTCAGGCATTGACCACATTGGCTCTCTAAACTGGGATTTAGTGGCTTGTTTAGCCGTTGCATGGGTCATCTGCTACTTCTGCATCTGGAAGGGAGTCAAATCCACAGGAAAGGTGACATCATCTCAATAGACTGCGAAAATAGAGCAAAAATAATTCAAAACAAATTGATAAATGTCAACTATGTGTTTTTTCTTCTAGGTGGTTTACTTTACAGCCACTTTCCCTTATATAATGCTAGTAATCCTACTTATTAGAGGGGTCACTCTGCCAGGAGCCCTCGGAGGAATCCACTATTACCTGTACCCTGATTTGGGACGACTTTCTGACCCCCAGGTAAGAAATACCGCTTGATCTTGAGGTGTATGGTACAATAGTGCCAACAGAAAAAAAAAAAGCCAGATTTCACAGACACAAGATTGGTACTTGTCATTCAAGCAGCATTTGTCAAAAGAGAACAGATACAGTCTTTGTCAATGTTCTGTCTGTTCTGGTCAGACAAAGGATTGCACAAACCACAACTACAAGTTTTAGACATTCTGGAATTTTAGTGCAAATTTATGACAAATAGCCTTTTAATTCACCTTACAAATGGGACATTTGTGAAAATAAACAATGGATTACAGTCCTTTGCTCTATCCAATAAACCAATGGCATAACAACACAACAATAGGCCCATGAGCAACATTATCTGGGTGGGCCCCATATGAAATACAACATGTAATAAAGGTTCAGGATACGGTGACAGTTCCATAAATTGGCTGAGAATATACAATTATGCAATTCTCAGTGGTATGTTATCACACATCACACACAAAAAAATATTGACTGCGCACCTTGAATGGAACCATTGGTGATAGCGCATCTCTACATGTTACAGACATCCCAAGTTGCAAAAACTAATTTCAGGGAGATCCTTATCTAACCTGGGACAAGATATTCGACTCACCGGCATCTGTGAACAACTATCTATATCAGGGTGATTCCCAGAACTTCTGGGAAACTTGGGATGTCTGATAGCACAACAAGCCTTCGGGCTAGCTTGAGCTTCACAGCTCCCCTCCTCACCCACGCTCTCTCCATTCATCTCCTGGTCACAATCTTTACTCACTGTATCAGCAACGTCTACCATTCCCTCTTTGGTTCTTTGAAAGAACGTGTTTATTTTGGAACTTTTTTCCGTTCTTAAAGCAGCCCTTGTTCCCTTTTTCTTTTCTGGAATCCGCTTAAGTACCTCCTTTAGGTATCCATCATCGCTAACACATTGTATGTAACGGTTATGGTTTTAATCTACGCTCTGGATTGCCAATAATTACAAGTCGTAGTGTAAAAACCAAAATACTCAAATACATCCTTCTTTTAAGATCTCTATTGTCATGATTTTACTAAAGTTCAGACCCAAATGCTGAAGACCAAACAGGGAGACCAGGAGAAAAGGTTTAACAGGTTTTATTGAAGAGATAATGCAGAGAGAAGTGTTGCTCTAAACACTGCTCAACCGGAACTGAAAAGTGAGGGGAAGACACAGCGATTAGTTCAGGCTCAGTGGGAAATTTGATTTGTGAACTTGTAGAAGGGTATCTGGTTGCTGACTTACGTTTCCAGAGAAGTTGTTGAATCTTTGACTCCAGTCTGTATGCTGTTGCTCTAGTGTTTGTCTGATTTGGTGGAGCGCGGAACAGGTTTTACCCAGAATGCGGTTGTTTGTAGGTGAACGGAGAAACTGACTGCCACTCAGATTTCCTGCGGAACTTGAACGGGTCGTAGTAGAGATGAATCCCTTTCTCAGTGTGAAGCTCAAACGATCTCTTGGGGAAAGTGGGTCCAAACCTCCTCTTTGTAACCTCAGCTCAGCTTGAAGCTCTGTTGATCCTTCCAGGGAGAGAAGGTCCGAAAAATCCAGTTTGCAGGATGACTTCCTGCCGAGAAGCAAAGACAAAAACAATGTTAAAACTCAGGTTGAAAAGAACTAATTTTGACTCAGCAAAAACTCAGCTTGGCTAGAGTACCCTAAACTGGCAAACACTCTGGTGTCGAGGTAGTGGCAGTCAGCAGCTTAAGAACACTCCGTTAACGAGGAAACCATCAGCAGGTGTGTGAGGAGGCGGACAAGAACCAGGCGCTTCCTGGTGGAGGAAGGGAGACAAACACAGAACACAAACACACAGACAGGAGTCCTGACATCTACTGCGGTTTGAAAGATATTATATGAGTGTATTTTTTAACCAACCGTCTAATGAACTTTACACAATTATTAACATAGTAATAAAAGTACCACTGTCTGCTTTGCTATTGATGTCGTGTTTAAACGGCGCCCCATCATGTTGAAATCTGGAATGTGTTGCAGTATAAATACGGGCTGGGCCAGTCAGTCACTTCAGTATCAGATGGGCTTAAGAGGAATTTTTCGCACCATTACATCTGCAAAGAGATGTCCTAGTTTACATTTACATAGGGGGCGCACCAGGTGTTAGTGATGGGGCCCCTAAGAGGTTGTGGGCCCTTAAGCAACTGCCGTCTCTGCTTACCCATATTTACACCAGTGCAAGAAACATTTAGTCTCAGTAAGTAACATCAAACCATGTTAGAAACCAGTGTCACAGTCTGGCAAAGTCATCCTCACGATCTTTAAATCAATCTAAAAGATTAATGTTTTTTTTTTTTTTTTATCTCATTGGGCAATCTCTTCCATAGATTTGACGAAGAGGTAAAAGTGTTTTGTATTTTTCTTGAAATTAAAATCTGTTAAGGAACACGAAAGGAAACATGGAAACTTTTATTAAAAAAGGAAACCACATGTAATTACTAATTATTTAATTGGTCAAAAACAAACTAACAAACAAACACATCTAGAGAACAAAGGTACAAAGGCTTCATCTCTATAACTACTACTATTATTACCACTTCTACATGGTAAAATAAGAGTTTTTTTTCCACTTGAAACCTAATGTTTAATGATCAAAAAGTTTTTTATCATGATTTAATCAGCCTCTAAGGAGGACGTGGGCTTACCTTATAAAATTCACTTTGTTTTTCTTTAATCTGAGAAGATAGAGAAAATAGGACACATAAGAACTACAAGGGCCCCTCAGCTTTATGCACCAGAACCACCAGCGATAGAACTGGACAGCTAGCAGGTTTTTGATCGGATAAGCTGTTAATTGTCACAAAGCTCAGTGCACTTTAGTGCCTAAATTGTTAAAAAAAACCTACTATAACAGAACTGATGGAGATCATGAAGGATGTGGTCATAGATGATTTTAAGCTTTCTAAATGTCACGCCATGAATGTCTGGACAGATGTTCAGGAACCTATTTGAGCTTTACACTTTCTGAGGGTCATAAAAACATCTTTTGATTACAGTATGTGTCATGTGGGAAGGACCTGCAGTGTGTTTTAAAAATCTTTTATTTGTTGTTGTTTGGTAATGGAGCACTTCTGTGAGAGCTGAGGGAGGGAGAGCAACCCCATGGTGGCATGGTTCTCTGACAATATAGTGTTGCTTAAGCTGTGCAGGAAGCAAAATGCGCGATATTCTATTACCTATATAAGAGCAACAGGTTTCAACTGGTTACAGCTCTTTGAAAAGCGAGATGATTGATAGGATCTTCACAGATCATCCATCTAAAGGCTTTCAAAGTCCAGCTGGGAAATTTTAGCCTTATAATAGCTTGGTAGCCTTTAAGCACACATCTTTAGAAATATAAAGTATACTTTTAATTGTTTTGAGTTTGTTTGCTTTTATTCTTTATGCTAAGGTCTGGATGGATGCTGGGACTCAGATTTTTTTCTCATATGCCATCTGCCTCGGCTGCCTTACCGCCTTAGGCAGTTACAACAAATACAACAACAACTGCTACAGGTAAGGCTTCAGAAAGCTTGTAGTTTTTACAAGAGCTCAGTCTGGTCTATAGAGGGTATTAGGGTTGAGTGATTTTTTATGAACAATATTGAAATTGCGATTTTTTTCCATGTTTATGTCCTGCATTTACAAGCATTTACATGCTTAGCTCCAGTGCTCCTCTGTTTTAATGGCTTTAAATGCTCTCTTGTCGTATGATAAAAGTTGCTTATTTCTAGCGTTACATGCATGGATTTGCAAGTTTCTTGTATTTCTTTCTTCCCTTCTGTGTGGCGGCAAATTTCAGACTCTCACTTGTGACCAAAAATGAAATGCCTCTGTGATTTTCAAATTGAATGCAACTTCCATTGAATTAATCGTCCCAAACTAGTCTAAACTTATTCCAAATTATTCAGTGAATGCATTTCCTAATTATTGCAATATATTTGTTTTCTGTTCCTTATCCAGGGACTGCCTGTGTCTATGTTTCCTGAACAGCGGCACAAGTTTTCTTGCCGGCTTTGCCATCTTCTCTATTTTGGGTTTCATGTCCTTCGAGCAAAACGTTCCTATCTCAGAAGTGGCTGAATCTGGTTTGTATTTCTCTCATTCCTCTAAAACAAAAGAAAGATGTGACAGAAGAAAATATCCAAAAACATATGTGAATGTGTGTTGTTTTAATTAGACCTCTGATTTATTTGAGCATTTATTAGAGCTAAACCTTCTGAAAGGAACCTCAGCAGGAAGCATATTTTCACAATGGATTAAACAAAGGAAAAGTGATGAAATATGTCTCTATCTGTAAAAGTATTCATACCCCACTAGATGTTTTTAAATGTATTTATTGTATAACCAGAGAAGCAAACAGATTTCAATAGATTTTAGGAGCTGAAAAAGGGAGGCATATTTGTATTCACCTTGCCTAACTGAGCCTCCGAATACAATCCTTAGAAGTCACTTGAATAATTAACAAAGCCCATTTCTTTGTTATTTAATCTTAGTATAAATACAGCTGTTTTCAAATGTCTAAGAGAACATTACAGAAGGGATACAGTTGTTAGAAAAGGAACCAAGCAAAATGGTGAATAGTGAATAGTGCTCTACAAATCGGGCCTTTATTGGAATGTCTTGTTCGCATTTTGCCAAAAGCCATTAAGAAAGAAGAGAGCAAACATTTGGAAGAAGGAGCTCTGCTATAATAAATCCACAAGTATATTACAGTGGTATGTTGGAAAATCAAATCAATAAATCAAGCAATGAACAAACTGAAAACACCATCCTCACAATAAATCATGGGTCTGCAGCATCACTCTTTGGGCTGTTTTTTGTTTTTCCTAGGATGTAGAGGGAATTGAAGAGAGTTAATTGATTTAAAAAAAAAAAAGGAATGGAGCTATGTCCAGGAAAATACTGGAAGAAAAACTGGTAACAGCAGAAGACTTGAGGCAGACTGAGGTTCACCATCCAGCAGGACAAAACTCCCAAACACATAGCAGGAGATGTTACTGAATGTTTACAATACCACTAAATAATGAATTAGAATGGCCTAAACCAGGGGTCTGCAACCTGTGGCTCCAGAGTAACATGTGGCTCTTTAGACCCTCTTCAGTGGCTCTTAGTAGTGGTCAAAAATTATATTATCCTATACTCTAAGAATAAATACCAGTCTTAGAACCTTTTTTTGGTTTTTATAAAGAATATCTAAATTTAATTTTCACAACAGTTTGACATTAAAAGCACCAGAAATATGTTTTGTAGAGCTATTTTTCTTTTAATTAGCTAGAAAGTATGTGTTTTATGATTAGCATACCATATAGAAGAAAAAGCATGCTTCATCTAAAAAAATCGTTTTTCTGTTTTTTATTGTCTTGAGCTAATAAAGCTGATCAAATGTTCGTTGTTTAAGATGGCAGCCGATTTCCTGTAGCAGATATTTAACCAAAATAATAGTGTTTTTTATATATGTATTAAAAAGTCTTATTTTGCAGCTAAAAATGACTTTTACTTTGCCGGACTCAGGGCAAAATGCCTCCTTGGATATGAAAGTTTGCAGATCCCGGGCCTAAACCAATGCTCCTCCACCATTTTCTGTTGCATTCCAACAGAGAATGCTAAAAACAACTTATTTTATTGTTTTGTCTCATAATGCCTCAAATCCATCAGCTTGAAGATTACCAACATTTTTTCCTTTTTATAACACTTACATACACATAAAAAAAATAAATAAATACTAGTTCCAACAGCTGGATTTTTTATTTTTATAAATACATTTTTTTTAAAGCTATATCATATTAACAACTGTACACAGGATTTTTTTTGCTTCCCTGTGATCAAAACTAAACATGAAACAACACCGAGCACAGCTACAGACCAAACAGCAGGTGGTGCTGTTGTTCTATTCAGCAGGATTTGTCTCAAACGTCTCCATTTCACCTGTAACCTCTTCTGAACAAATAAGCCTGGTTATGCATTCAAAGGGAAACAGTCCCTGCTATGGGAATCCAGATCTAAACCTAGTTGAGAATCACTAGCAAGAAAACTGCTTAATTCGCAGAAAACGTCCTTCCAGTCTCATGGAGTTTAAGCCCTGTGCAAAGCTTGTAGAGATACCCAAAAAAGATATAGACTTCACTGAAATAAAAATATGGGTCTGCCCAGTTTGTCCCACTGTAAAAGTAAATACCAACACACCCAATACTTTTCAGATTTTGTTTTGCAAAACTAAGTTAAAAATAAATTTCTTCCCACTTAAAAAATTTCACCACTATGTGTTACTCTTTCACGCAAAATGTTAAACAAATACTTTAAGGTTTGTGGTGGAAATATGAAAACATGTACCCAGTGCTTGTCAGTAAAGTTCTTACAGGGTCAATAAACAATTAAATAAACTTGTACTTTCTTCTTCTCTTCTCTTGCATCAAAGAGGCTTAAATATTGTATTTGTGTCACAGCTCCTCTATTAGCCAACCCGTCATGCACAGATCGGATGCCAGACAGTTGGGTTTTAAGAA